GCAAAAGAATTCCCAGACGATGATAAAAAAACATCTCAGCATCCCATCTATTCGTATTTTGGGAAGAAACTTACCAGACCAACATACCTTGCCTTCAAAGACACCGTTACGAAACTCTTGAATATAGATCCGAGATCAGATTGGTCTTTCTTAGTTGATGTTCACACTGAAGATCGCATTTTACCACCCTTACATTTTACCAGAACACAATATAGGAATGATTTCCTGTCCCTCAGGGATAAGTTTCTTATCGGTGCTAGTAGTAAAACAAGCGTCTTCGTGCGCAACGTTAGTGGTTACGCGCCCTCACAACACCAAGTCGTGGAACCACCTCAAGACAGTCAAATTGTCAGATTATACAGTCAACAAGAAAATGCGGAAAGTTACTGGAAAATACCCTTGGTCCTCAACCCCGTATTACCATACTGTCTAAACCACTTACAGCCCTCATTTGTCAGAGCTTTCCTTGCCATTTACGGTCAGGATCGTCCCTCACGCAATCCACGACTTTCCAGCACACAAGAAGGGGTTCACGAACAGGCTCTTAATTTTGGCGGTATGGAAGTAACCCCTCAAACTTGGGAGTGGGTTGTTGATCGAGTCAGACAACAGAAAAATCTTCCAAAACCTGTTCCACAACCTGATGATGATTCTGATGCTGAAACTGAAGTTGATTTGTCATGCCAACTCACTATAACAATTCCACCTCATTCTGACATGAGAAAAAAGCCCGAGGATACAATCTACCTCCATCTCATTGGCGATGATTACCAGAGGGATATTGCATTTGAACGCAATGAGTATCAACATATCTACAGTTTTATTGTAGAACGGCTGAGAAAGGTTCATCGTCATAGCCAGAATTCAAAATACCCGAACGGCAGTCTTGTCGCAATGTGGTTCAGTGCTATAGAACGTGAAGAGAACCGGCCACCTGTCATTATGGAAATTGATGACGACTTGCCAGATGCTGAGAAGGGTAATATGATTAGAACAGCTTTCCTCGGTCGCGTGCAAACTTTCTCGAATATTTGGTTCCGTCCGGAGTATCAAGTTTTCACGCTTCATGATAATTCCGAAGGTGAACGTATCTGGCAGTGGGATACAACAGACGAACAACACAATACCTCCCTGGAGAACTTCAGGGCAAACATGAGAGAAATGTATGATGATTGGGATCATGCTCTTGACTCGAATTTTGTTTTACTCCAAACAAAGACAAATCGTTCATTCGCAGTAGATCGAAGAACCACAGAGAGTTACTGGAGAAAATATATTTTTGATTGGCTCACAGAAACCGACATATTCATTGAGCGAAGAGAAACTAGACCTTTTAGTGAGTTTCGCCATGCTTCAGCCGATATGACTAACTAATCCTCCACAGTGCAACCTGATACAATTCCTTGGGGCTATAGACATACTCGTCAAATCCCGCCCCCTCCTCCAGTGGAACTTAACCCAGTTCCGGTGGCGCCTGTTGCCGAAGCATCACAGCAGCCTCGTATCAACAAAACACGACTCATTGCACCCGTTGCCGAAAAGGCCATCACTCCAAAATGGGAGACTTGGATGACAGATCAACATCGTAAGGATGCATTACAACGTCGTTCTTACATTCAAGACCAATCGGTCATTGAGCCGGGCCTTGACCCTTCAGCACCAACATATGGTCCTAGTAAAGAATTGACATTAGGAGTTTCTCTTTCGACTCCTGCAGTTTATACACAACGACTGACCCCTACTGATATTTTAAACTTGGTTGAAGAAAATCAGAAGTTAAGAAATGGCTTGTTAGAGCGATCTCACAACTGTCTCATCTGCTCTGTGACCATGGCTGGCTATGATCATGCCGAAATACAACGCCATTATGGACAGCATCTAGTCCAACTCCAAAAAGAGGGACAATGTCCTCTTTGTGAGCGAGAATCGTGGTCAATCATGACCATGGAGCAAAAGAAAGAGCATCTTGAAACTCATCAAGTGGAAACAGACACCGAAATGATTCGAAATTTCTGGAATGGCATTGAATGTCCTGTATGCGACGCCAAACTAAGTGGTTTTACAGCCGAACAAGTTCTTCGCCACATGGCAGACCACATACCAGGAATTGTCGAATTCTGTGATAAATGCGGACTTCGCACCGCTATCTGCAATCATGCTGAACTAGTTCATCACAGATACGTATGCCTTGATCAACCAGATCGTGGACCCCTCGATCTAGAACCTTCATTCTGCGGCGATTGTGGCCAAAATCGTACCGCGGAGGATGAAGAAGAACGGGGTCAGCACGTTATAAATTGTACCGCTAAAAATCGACGTGTTCAAGATAAGAAGTTCTGTACCAAATGTGGCATTGATAAGAGTGCATGGAGCAACGATGAAATCACCACGCATGATGAGCATTGCACATCTCCTCAAGGTTTGCCAAAAGCTTTTTGCTTGAGATGTGGCACAAGGTTGCTTGGTGCCACTGAAGCTCAATTGGATGACCATAGAGTATACTGTTCTATTAGAACAAAAGAACCGGAGAATTTGAGACAGCGAGTAGAAGGTATGTTCGCTATATTTACTTATCCCTTGAATTCACATGATTTCTGCCCAAATCTTTTTTCCTCCATTCCATTATTTCCATAGGGTATCAAGCTGATATCCCTTTCTTCCTCTCAGATCTTGAAACCCTAATCAAGCGTATCTGGATTGCACCTCGTCCCCTCACGGGTCCTCTAACCATTACTGATTCACCTCTCCCCATTCAGAGCTTCAGGCGCGAACTGCAACACTCAATCGCATCGCGGCCAAGAACGCAGCCACACTCTCCTGGATTACCCAACGGGAGAATGAGCTCGTAGAAAGCGAAAGAGCTTTAGCCGAACGAGAGTCGAAACGTCCTATGGACGAAAGACGAGCGTACGCTGAAGATAGGAGTAGTCTTGGAGCATGCCCTTGGTCTCGCAAAGGTTGCAAATATCATACGATCAACCAGACTCGTAGGCAAATCTTTACACACATGGCTACACATTTCAATGCCGATCAAAGCAAAACTCTCCCATTTACCTGCCCATTCCCTGGATGTAGTAAGCAAATCGCTGTACCCGGCTCGGATCCCGATGATAATCTTCTCGTTGTGGATCATTATCGTCATCGCGACTATCAAGGTATCGCGGATGTACATGGTCCGCCTAAGGGCAGAGATCCGAAGGAACTCAAAAAATTGGTAGATCATTTTCAAAAGGCCAATGCAATGAATGCTCGTACGCGCTTGCGAAACATTACACCGCTTCCTGAGCCAGGCCAGGGACAAGGGACGGGTGGAGCAGGAGCGGGTGGATTTGGTGGCGGGTTAGGAGGTGGACTGGGATCCAGATTCCAATACTCCGACTCCAGCCGCCTCGAAACAGGTTACGCGTATCACCCCTCACACCTACCTTCCGACGACGACTTACAACAAAGTATCGAAGCCGATTATGTACAGTACGGAGACGATGAGAATCTTTTCCAAGCCGGCGATTACGAGCCTCCATCTGAAGCCGAAACCGACCCCGGAGTCGAAATTGAGATCTCGCAGCCGACACCTACCAGACGACACCGATCCTTTGCAGCCCCGCTAGACTCATACGATAAACCATACTCCACATACACTCCCAAATCCATCAGCCAACCACCTCCACTCCCGTACTCCCCCACCAAACGTAAAGCATCCGCCGCAATCCCAGAAGAGGACTTATACCCACCCTCTAATCGTACGACGCGTCAACGCACGGCAATCCAGACTCCAAGTCCAGATATTGAAGCCCCACCCGTGCGAAGATCAATTCGACAGGATCGTCGACGAAAATCAATGCATGGTGTAGATCAAGATGGAGATGCAGACGAGGGAGAAACGAGAGAGGTAAAGTCTCAGGATTGGAAGAATATGATGGATACGTATGAAGCCGAGACGTCGCAAATAAACCAGTATGAGTCGAGTGGAGGTGATAGTTCAGAACAGGCTCAAGTACATGAGGAGGTGGAGGGCAAAAATGAGAGTTCGGAGCAAGTTACTTCGACGTCTAATTCGAATCGGAGTCCGAGTCCAGCTCCGAAGGTGAAGAGGTATAGAACTAGGTCTGGAGGATAGACGTTTAGCGGGTGAATGGTTGGTTTGGTTTAATTTTTGTTCCGAGAGTTTGATTTTGGTTTTGATTTTGATTTTGCTAATCCTTTCTGTTTGTACTTTCTTATATTCGTTCATAATTATCTCTTTTCTCTCTTTTCTCTTCATCTTTCGTATTCTGCTACTCGTAATCATGTTATCTGTACTACGCTACCGCAAAGGGTTTTGGAAATATGAAAGGATGGGAATATTAAGTACCATGTCATGATATATATAACTCTTCAATCTTATGATGCCTACTTAATGAGTGAACGAATCTATGATTGTGATTTGGATGGAGAAAGTGAGTAATACAACATATCATCTGAGGTACATACATCGATATCTCATTCCATATTCAACAAAACCAGTCAATTTAGACTCCCTTTGAGATTCTTTTCATATGTAACTAGGTACCTAGTAGATATCACATATTTCTCTATACGTATATTCCTTCATCTTCTAGTTTTTTTTTTAAATGTATAGGTAACTATAGAATATTTCTATATCTCTCATCATACAACCAACATTTCCAGTAGCTCAAACTAGGTACGTTATAGGTCAACGAGTAGAAGCTTGCATAGTCAAAATAGTTTGGAATGTTGTATTTATTTTCTGATGTTATGTCTGCGTTTATGTAATCTTACTCAAATCTACATCTAATTTACCGGTCAAATGTTGTTGGATATCATACCAGTGCCACGGATTTAGAATATTACAGAATCATATCGAATTACCCATCCCATCCCATTCTTTATACCTATGATTTATGAACCACTCATCACAAGAAATATTTGGCGTCTAAAGATTAAGCGACACAATATTCACTTTTCAATCTCAGTTCTGATTCCCCATCCCGCACATCCCCTCACATCTTCTCCCCATCTCCAGAAACCCACACCCCTTCCAACCCACCCTCCGCATTCTCCCCCTCACTCCCCCTCCCCTCCTCCCCCTCCTCCCCCTCCACCACATCCCCATAAAACGACCTCTCAACCAACGATTCCCTCGCCGGCCAAACCCAACTCACCCCCACATAAACCACCACACTCACCACAAACCCAAACAACCAATCAAACGAATAGAGATTTCTCGCTCCCCGACTAATCCTCACCGCATCCCTCTCCACCCCCGTCTCCCCATCCGTCTTCAACGCAATATTATACGCCAACCCCGGCAGATTCGGACACACCGCTAGTAGCAACGCCAACAGCGCGCGCCAGTTAACTCCACACACGTATCTATATCTTCCCAGGGGATCGTACAGCGCCGGCACATCCAGATGTTGTTTCCGCAGCACCCAGTAATCGGCCGCGAGAATACCCGCAATGGGCGCGAGAAACACGGCATAGCCGCCCATGAAAGAGAGGAAGGTTTGGGCCGAGCTGATGATTTTCCAAGGGACGATGACCCATCCGCCGACGATGGCGGCGATGACGCAGCCGCGTTCGATGTTGATGTAGCGGGGGAAGAGAACGGTGAGATCGTTTGCTGCGCTGATGGAGTTGGCGGTGATGTTGGTGCCGACTTGTGCGATGTACCAAGCGGCGGCTGCGAAGAATGCTGCGGCGCGTCCGCCGTGTCCGAGGTCCAGCCATTTGGCGAGGATGTCGAGGGGGTTCCAGAGGGGTTCTCCGTAGATGACTCCGCTGGCTGAGGTGGTGATTATACCGATCGTACCACACAGGGTGAAAATGAGAGGGAGGAAGGGAAGTTGAATGAATTGACCTTTGGAAGATCGTGCGTAGCGGGAGAAATCGGGGATGTTGCATGATAGTGTAGCCCACGTGCCTGTGACTGACGACATGCAGGAGAGCCAGAGATATGCTTTGGTGGATCCGGAGACGGTAGGCTGGAGATCAAAGATCGATCCTGAGCCGCCGGCTTTATGGATACACCAGCCCATGGTTGCAAGTGCGGCAACAGGGGCTGCGATGAGTTTTGTGACGAAGAGATATCGGAGACGAGTAGGGGGTATAAGGAGAAGTGGAAGTTGAATTATCCAGAAGAGAAAGTAGCTAAAGAAAATGTGATTAGTATTTCTTACTCTCCATCTAGTAGAATGACATACCTAATCATTCCCTGCGTAGTGATTCCTTGGTCTTCTGGAATATGATTCGGCACATTCGCATAACTAGGCCAAATAGCCAATATCATAATCGTAACACACTGTGCTCCGCCCGCGCCTACTATACCCAACCAAAACATCGCCAGTACGGCTCTTGAAACTATACAAAAGTATGCAAAATAGTATCCAAACGACGCTCGGATTGCTACTGAAAATGGAATATGGAATTTGGCACCGATGGCCCCGTTGAGTACCACGGGAATCGCAACGCAAGTCGTTCCCACTACCATCTTTTGTGTTTATCAGTTTTGATCTGATGATTAGAGATAGCTAGGTCATGTAAGGGATTTCGAAGAAACTCACAATCGGAATTGCTTCTCTCCATGTTAACCCCACCGCTAGAACACTACTCGCCGTCTCCCAGGTACTCAGAGTGATTGTATCAGTTGCCCAATACGCCATCCTATATTGCATATTATCAGCCAACACCTCACTTGCTCTATCTATCATCTCTTCCCCAAAACAAGCCAATGATTTCCAGCATTCCCTATCCCCACCCCTGATCAACTCTCAACACATCCCTACGAAATCACAAATAACAAACTCACCACGTCCACAAAGTCCAAGTTTGATTTTCCTTCTTCACCGGATCCATATCCTCATTCGTCCAAACATGTTCTGGCGCCAACGCACTTTTCTGTTTCGGCAATTGCCATGCTCTGACCGTTGTGCATCGTTCTTTGATTTGTTTTCCAGTAGGAACATATGGCATCGAAGTGAAAGAACGCATCGTCACGTTTTGCCTCTTCTCAACAACAGCAAATAACCTCTTGACGGTATCTATGAACAAACCCTTCTTTCCTCCAACCTCGAGCTTCAAAGCGCACTTCAAAGCAAGAGATAAAAGACCAAGACCAAGAATGACAGAAGACAAGATGCTGAACCTCGGTCTGTGGTATAAATACACATTTGTCTCAATACCTTATCCCACCTAAGCCCAAACTTTACCTACAAGGTAGGTAGGTAGGTAGCTTTCTATCCATTCATAAACCCCTCCTTCCCCTCATCGCAACTGCATATTGTGTACTACGCGATAGATATCGAACCGGAGAAGGATAAGCTGAATGATAAGGCCCATGCAGAGATATGCAGAAGCAGATATGATCTTACCAGGGAGTGGTCGATCGTGGGCGAATCAGATGAGAATCATCCGACAACCTTGCACTTGCAGATCTCGACATCGTAAATATGGGCGAGATGAGATAGATAGGTACCTAGGTAGGTGTCTTAGAAAAGCTTAATGAATGCTATTGCATCTTCGAAGATTATCTCAAAATCATTATTCCATATACCTCGCTTGAATGTATATACGAATTCCATTCGTGGCTATCGATCGTATTCTTTCTTCACCATCCCATCGAAAATCTCCCATAACCTTATCATCAAAACAACAACAACAACAAAAGGTACATGACCACTCCCAAAAATCCAAACAATAGTCTCGACCTCGTAATCTTACAATCAACAGACCAGCCCTAACCTTAACCGAATCCATACAACCTTACATACATACCCGCCTAGCGTACCTACCTAACTGTCGAAACCTACACAAGCCAGCACTACCTACCGAGCCTACGCACTGAAGATCTCCACACCGGGCATACTCCACACTCCCTCGATCAATGAATAGGATCCGAGCAGGAATCTCCAAATCCAATCCCCTCCCTGTGACGAGCAATTCTTTTTTATCTTCACGATTTCATCGAAAAGCGATCGTTCAGCTGTCGTGAATCAGAATTCCATGACCGACTCTACCAAGCAAGGACAGGAAACACTCACCCGGGGAGAATCGAAAGAGTACCTACCTACCTACCTAGTACTCAGCCTGCTATCCACTAACCCCCATCCATCCATCCATCATCCATCATCCATCAGATAATGAAAAGAAAGAAATACGAAGAAAGGGAAAAGTTCTACGAGTATTCTAATCATACCTAGGTATCGAAGCTCTCCAGCTACTAGTAACCTTATTAATAGTCACAATCTCAAACAACACTTTACTTCCCTTCACATCCCCACTATCCAAATCCTTGCACAAACAACTAACTACGAGACTACCTCGAGCTCTCTCCACATGTATATAATAACCAAATCTGACTACCGGTACCTAGGTACCTACACATAATTCAAATCATCCAAACTCTCTCCTCGAATCATCTCATCATCTCATCATCTCTTTTTCGCCATCCCATCCCATCCCATTCCCTTTCATTCCCTTCCATTCCTATCCTATTCCCCCCCCTCGTCTCAAAATCACAATCACATCAAATCACATCAAATCACATCAAATCACATCAAATCACATCACATCAAATCACATCACATCACATCACATAACCATACATTGACAACACTACCTACCTATGTAAACCTACCTAACTACCTACCTAGCAATACAATCCTCACATTCACATTCACATTCATAATCCTCACCACCATCACTTTCTCGCCAGCTCCAACAAAACAATACGAGAATCTCTTCACAAATACATGTTACCCAATTGAATCATAAACTGCTATTTGGATTTCAGTCATTAAAATTGATAGGGCGTGAAATTCTATACTTAATTTAAGAAAAATGATCACAAAGTTCCAAACTTCGTCTAGCAGCTGCAACATATGTCACGTATTGAAGCCCCCAAACAAAATGACAAGAATAAAAGACCATAAAGATGGATTTAATGATCACTCATACAACTCATCACATGAGGTAAAATGCTTCACTTATAATGCTCTCTGTTGTACACATCTCTATACTATCACAATGCATTTCCTCCACTTCAATACATGCATGATGCTATCCTCAAGGACTGCATCTAAAACACGCTTCCGCTGAATGTAAACTGCTAAAATTACAGATTTCACTATGAGCCCTAAGTTAAAATGATTTACTGTCCCTCCCCATCAGAGAAATATTCGAAATCATTGGGCACAGTAGCTTCCTCGTCACCCTCATCGTCTTCATCGACAGCGGTCAACACACCTGCGGCAGCAGCAGCTCCTGAGAATGCACCTGCGGCTTCACCTTGGGCATGGGCTTGACGACGCAAGTTGAAGGCTTCGTTGCGTAGATCCCCAAAAGTTGTAAACGTTGCAGCCTTCTCGACATTGACCTTCTTCACCTTTTCTTCAATCAGGACCTTTTCTTCTTCTGGCTGGGTATCAATCATTACGATGACACCCCCAGTAGGTTTCTTGACTGGCTTGTATCGACCAGCTGGGAAACTAATAAACTTGAGTTGAGATGGCAAAACTCTGGACATGTTTTCAATCTCATATCCAACCTTCTCCTTCTCAAGTTTCTTCTTCAAGGTCTCTCCGGGGGTATCTTTCTCGCCTTCGTCTTTTTTCTCGGCAGACTTCTCTTCAGTGTCTTTGGATGACTCATCTACATCCATCTTATCATCGGCTGAAGAGGGAAGTTTTGGTGTGGCAGGAGTTTGATCGATATCCATACTCTCTCGTCGTTGAGCACGCTCTTTCTTTTGTGCTCTGCGTTTTGCTTGAGCAGTTGTCGATAGTACGGCAGTTGCAATCAAAGTTGGTGCATCCTCAGTCTTGACTTCCTGCTCTGGGGGATAGTCGAAAAGGCTTGGACGAGTAGCACTGTGGAATTTGAAACTTGGAATCTCCAATTCGCTGTTCAAGCCGATCATAGATGTAGGCGTAAAGGTCAAGGAGAGGAAATGGGTGAATGGGAACCAGTACCAGTATTGTGTAAAGACTGCCATGCCGACAATACCTGCCATGTTCAGGTTACCGGTTTGAGTTTGTAATCCGATTGTGCAATTACGTCCTCCAGCATCAATGATACCCAATGCTAATGCACAACCAAACTTGGCCATAGCGTCCTCATGACGATCTGCAACGACCTTCTTCAAGGTTTTGCGAATTTCCGTCACCTTTGGATTCATTGCCTCATTCTGTTGAACCATGATCATGGCGAGAGAGATCAAGGCACCCTGTCGAACAAAGTCTGTAGGGTCCTTCATCATAGGCTCAAGCAAATCGATGGCTTCATCAAGACCGGTACCGGCACAAGAGATACCAAGAGCCATGGCGGCACCGTATCTAACATGTGGATTATAAGATTCGGACAAAAGTTCGACCATACGTGGCACACTTCCGGGCTTGCGGAACAGAATGAAACCCAAACTCATGACGGCAACACGACGAACATCGTCGTTCACATCACTGACGGCTACATGCAGTAATTTACGAACTGCCTTGTTGCTTCCTGTACCACAGTATGCCATAGCTACAGCCATGATACCACCATAACGGAGAGATGGGTCTGCGTCTTTCAACAATCCCTTGATGAGATCATCGGCTCCTTCTTGTCTGCCGTACATAACTAATGCCATACCCAGAGCAAGACCTCGAACAGTCTTCTCGTGTTGAGTATCGTGAGCATAGATGATCATGTCTTGCAAAACTTTCTCATTTCCAGTTCCCAACATAATGAGACCAATCGCAAGACCCACGGCCTCACCATTCAGTGCGGAATCGGTTAAAAGTACGTTTTGCAAGCTCTCGAGAATTTTTTGATCACCTGTAGCCATACCAGCAATACCCAATCCTAACGCACCACCATGCTGGATGACCTCTTCTTGGGTCTCATTGAAGCTTTTCTTCAGATACTCGAGGGCATCGGCGCCATGGTTGGCATAGATCAACCCATAAGCATAAAGAGCACCACCCTGACTATAATGTGAACCTGTGATTGACGAGGCTTTTGGGAGATAAGGTTCCAATAGTCTCTTGGCCTGTGAAAGATTGCCACGGTGAATAACACCAAGAGCAGCAGTAGCAGAAAACTTTGACCAGTTGACTGCCTTTCCTAGCCAATCTAGATTGTCGCGGAAGAATTTGTCGTTGGTTGTGCCGTGGTTCATGAACGCATTGCAGAAGGTAACAGCTGTGTGGAAGATGGAGTTGCGACCTTCAAGACTGTCACGAACCTTGTTGAGAATACTGAGGTCGGTGTGGTTATTGCGGTATAAGAATTCAAGGTTAAGTCGAATGGTCTCACTACCATTAAGGATCTTTCGGATCGAGTCATAGACCTTGAGTTGTTCATCCGAGGCTCCTTCGGTAGAGTCCCCAGCTTGATCGTTCAACTCTCCTAAGAGCTGATCAGATTCTGTTGCTACTCAAGAAATTAGTAAAAACTCAAGCATGAATATAGAGTCTACTCACGCTCCTCTGTAGATGGCTCCGCCTCGGTGGCCTTCTTGGGCAAAGATTTAATTACTTTGGCGAGGAATTCTTGAGTACCATTATCATACAAGTCGAAAGCGATCTGATATGCGATAGCGGTAGAAGTTTGATCATCCTTGGTCTGAAAAAGGTCAGCCTCATTTCAAATAAAACGTCAAGTCACTGCTTCGTCCAGTTAGTGTACTTACCACCAGCTTTTTCAACATTGCCGATGCCTCTTCGTCGATGTTGAGGTAAACAACACATTTTGCAATTGCAAAATAATCGGGAGTTGGTATATCGTTCAATAGATCCAGGATCAATCTGAGTATCTCTGTTCGAAGCCCTCTCTCTTGTACGACGCCCATGCAAATGTCCAAGACATATTCCATCAATTCTTCTGTTGGACCAGCTGTACCCTCGGGCACCTTCGATTTTGACTTCTTTTCGTCGTCACTGGCACGCTTGATGACTCTTCGTAAAACCTCCAAGTTTCTAGCCTCGACCGCAATTCCTACCACTTGTCTATATCTCCCTTCGCGTAAACAATTCTCAAATAGTCTTTCAACAATCTTTTGGAGCGCAATCTGAGTAGAACGATCTGGTAAGATGGTAGAATCCGAAGCCTTGCCTTCTGCTACGGGCTGTTCCAACATGTTATTGGTAGAGGCTCGTGATAGCAGGGATTTTGATGGTAGAGTAGACTGCGAGAAAGGCGTAGTAGGTGAAGTCAACGCAGCAGCAGCAGCGCTGATGTCATTGAGCCCACTTGCAAAAGTCGTTGCGAGAGTAGGTAAAGCATTATCCCGTTTCTTTTCTTGTGGTGCAGCATGGTGTTGAGCAGACACACTGATATAGGTGTCGACACATTTCGAAATGATGGTTTCTTCGAATTCGCCTGGGTTGTCGAGTTGAAATAGATCACCCGCTCCGAGAGCAAATGACATACTTTCATTGTATGCTTGTAAGTGATAGTAGACCTTTGCCAACACCAAGGAAGCTAGTCGTCGCTCGGGGAAGGATTCATCTTCGTAAAGCGCCTCACTGAAAAGTGGCCAAATTAGTCTCGAGTTGGTCATGGTGATGGAGCTATCTTGAGATGGATTATCTGCGACGAGTTGGGTTTGACTTACATTTGAGAAATCGAACCTGCAACCTCTGTCCATAGGGTATCAATATCATCATTCAGCGTTTGAAGAGCAAAAACCTTGAGCTCTGGTTCTTCGTCTGAGAGGAAACCCAAGACACCAGAGGCTGAAGTTAGACTCGGCATGGTTGGTTGAATGGCTCGAAACCCGGAGAGATTTGACTTTGCAAGAGTTGAATTATTTGAAGAAGGTTAATGAAAGTTACTCTTCAAGAATATGAAGGACTTGAAAGAGATTTGATGGATTTGGTAGTTGAAGATGAGATTGTGTAGAGTATACAAACCTTGACCGGAGCGTATCGATTACAACAATCAGGCACACCTTTTGGCACGTCAACACTCCCACAGCTTCAACTACGAATTAAGCTTAGTGGGAGAGACGGAATTAGCCGGCAGTGAATTGTAGGTGGGTAGGTAGGGTAGGTTACAAGTGGTGAATGAATCTTACATAATCAATCTGAGGGTTATCGTAGATAAGGCTGAGAGGTTGAGTTGACAAGAAGACGAGACAAGACAGGACAAGGCTGAGAACAGTTTTATTATTACGGAGGTCCATGTATTTTATTACCTATTACCTACTAGGTAGTAGGAGCGACTAGGCACTTACCAACCTGTACGGT